GAGTTATACAATTTGGGAGTCTTTTAGATAGACCCACTGAAGGGGTACTCCAATTACCTCATCCTGCGTTCCTGTTCAGCATGGAAAAAGCCAGAGCCATCTGCTTCCTTATTTCCTATTGGCAATTTGGGTAACCCCTTCAGAGGATGGCATGATAAGAATAGGAGGTAGGAATTGGCTAGGCAGTTAGGGTAAAAAGACCCCCCCAAAATGTAGACAGTTTCTGGGCTAAAAGTCAAAATGTCCTTGGGCCTGTTCCAAAGGCCAAAAACGTCAAAAGTCTTTGGAATCTTGTATCTAATCCTTAAAAGATTTTAGGGTTACCTCTTTAGAGGGGTGAATGTTAGAGTAGCCAAAAGCCCCATAAAAATAAACAAATTAATTAAAAAACCCACTAACCCAAAGCAACTTGGAGGGATGGGTTTCTTTGGGTTACATGCCCCAATCACAGTCCAGCACTGAGGAAAGCCAAGGTAGAAACTTATGCAGGAGCCTGGGGGCAGGAGCTGAAGCAGAGACCATGGAGGAACACTACTACTGGCTTGCTCAGCTATCTTTCTTACAGCTCAAGCCCACCTGCCCAGGAATGGCACCACCCACAGAGAGCTGGGCCCTCCTAAATCAAATAGCTTCATAAAATTAGGGAACCAGATATGGGTTCTGGTTTTTGCAATGAAGGCTCAGGGGCTCCAGCTGCTGACCTGGTCTAGGAGCATATCATGTGAGCCCCTTTTTGGCAGACCAGCTCAATCCACTGGGCTACCATAACAAGAACTGGATGATGGTCAGCAGGGGTGCACGGCTCTCATCTCTGGGACTGGGCAGGCTCAGTAATCCATGGCCTGGGTTTCATAGACCCAGGGTTACCTGACTGTATCCTCATGGAGCAGGAGGGATGAACAGAACACTAATTACCATCAGTGGCCTTTCAGAGGTCCCACCTATTACTGTCGTACTGGGGTCTGGGCTTTAGCATGTGAATCTGAATCTTGAGGAGGACACAAATATCCAGATCAGGGCAGTGACTGATGGTGCTGGATGTGGGGGTTTGAGTTCTCATCTGCCATTTCAATGAAAGTATCTGCAATAAATCCCAAGACAACAACAGCTCCTGCCGCCCCCTGATCCTTCAGTACATGGGAGCCCTCCAGTCCCTGAACCTATCTGGAGGCCAGGAGATTTGCCATCTCTGTGCTTTGCCCCAAGTTGGTTTCTCTGGAGGGAACCCTCCTTCAGGATCCTAGAGGGCCCTTCTCCACCACATCCATGGAATTTTTCTAGCTGAATCTCCTCATGCCTCATGCTGTGCAGAGCTGGATAGGTGCTAGAGCTCAGATGCTCTGGCTGTCTGAGAACTGAGATATCAGCAGTCCCTTTCTAGTTGCTGAGTAACAGTGCCTCTACAGCCCTGAATTTTCCAGATTAAGCATCTCTGGTCTCAGCTGTTTCTGATAGCTGTGTGCTAATGTCACCTGGGTGAGGCCACATGCTTCCTGAGGGGTTTGTGTTCTGTGCTGTTCCCTGCCACCTAAGACCACTTTTAAAATAAATTCTTTGGGTGAGTTTGGGGTACACACAGGCGAGCACATTCCCAGAGGATGTTGCCCTACCTGCCTGGAGCTGAGGCTGGGATGCTGAGTGTGCTTGTTAGTTTTGTCAACTTGATACAAACTAGAGACACCAGGGAAGAGGAAACTTCAGTCGGGGAATGCCCTCCATTGGATTGGCCTGTGGCCATGTTGGTGATGTGTTTTCTTTTTTAAAATATTTTATTTGTTTTCATGTATATGAGTATATTACCTGCATGTGTGTAAGTGTACCTGCCTCATGCAGTACCTGTGGAGGTCAGAAGAGGGCATTGGAGTCCCTTGGAACTGGAGTTATAAACAATTGTTAGCTGTCATGTGGGTGCTGGGAATCGAACCTGGGTCCTTTGCAAGAGCAGCCAATGTTCTCACCGCTGAGCCATCTCTCTAGCCCCCTGATGTGTTTTACTTAATTGCTAATTGTTTTTTTTGTTGTTTACTCACTAAAGATAAAATTCAATTTGTTTTTCTTCCTACTTTTTATTTTTTTTAATATTTTGTTTATTTTTATTTTTATTTTATGTATATGCATATATTGCCTGCATGTAGGTAAGTGTACCTGTGTCATGCAGTGCTTGAGGAGGTCAGAAGAGGCTGTCAGAGCCCCTGGAACTGGAGTTACGGACAGTTGTTAGCTGCCATGTGGGTGCTGGGATTTGAAC